GAGAGAGAGAGAGAGAGAGAGAGAGAGAGAGAGAGAGAGAGAGAGAGAGAGAGAGAGAGAGAGAGAGAGAGAGAGAGAGAGAGAGAGAGTGGATGGATGTAATGACGAGGCGGTCAAAAGATCATCAGTTTGGTTTCAGGTTTGTTCGACCGGCACTCTGGTTTAAATGGCTTTACGTCGGACGGTGGTTCGGATAAGCATTGGACGTTAACTTCCAATATTTTCGATGTCGACTGGCCTTTGGTACCTTGGCTGGCGATGCTGCTGCAGGACCACTCGTCCGACCAGAACAAAGCGCATCTGGTACCTTGGCTTCCGATGCGACTGAAGGCTGCAGGATCACTCGTTTGGCGAGCGCGGGGCTATCGTTGTCACGTTTTGATATGAGATTCATTGTCGTCGACGGCGATGTTGCTTGCCTCGCAGTAGTGTTATGGACTCCAGCCATCAGCCTCGCTTTGTCTTCCCCTCCAAGGTCAGTGCAAGCGACGATGATTCAGCGAACATTTCCCGATAGGGATTTTCCTTGTTCTGGTTTGCTGTCGAGTGCACTAATGATCTGCTCTTGACATCAGACCTCTCTTTCCCGTCACCCCTTCCGTTGCTGTATTTGTCTTGTAATGGGCTTGCTTGCGAGAAAGAGCGCGAACGCGAGAGAAGAGAGATGAAAGATAAGAGAGATCCATAGGGACACGCACGTAGACACACACACAGACACAAAGAGAGAGAGAGAGAGAGAGAGAGAGAGAGAGAGAGAGAGAGAGAGAGAGAGAGAGAGTGCTGCTATCTCGTCTCGTGGCTTCTCTGTATTGGTGGATGACTAGGTCAAAATGACGGAGCTGGTCACAGAGACTGAGGGAGGGGGGCTGGGTGGGGGGGAAGTGTGACTGATAGTGGTGTGTTCCTCGGATGTAGACAACCAAGCCTGCAGATCGGAGTGCATTATTTTGCTTCCTTTGCTTTGTGGATCCTGAGAGTGGATGGCCGATTCTTCGTTTCTGGATTAATTCCTCTCTCTCTCTCTCTCTCTCTCTCTCTCTCTCTCTCTCTCTCTCTCTCTCTCTCGTCCTTGAAGTTCCTTTTGCGTTCCAGGAAGTCTTTGTTTTGTTTTTGTCGGCAGATCTGGGTGGATTTGTGCTAGACTGGACAAGTCTGTGTAATGCAGCGCCACTGAGTGAGGTTTTGCGCTTTTTGGCTTAGTTCCTTTTGACGATTCAGGGTGTACTCAGCCGCACTCTGTCTATCTTATATGTACCTGACCGTATTTACGGCCGGCCCTGCATGTATCTTGAATTACGTCCAGTTATAAGTAAAAAGTCTTAGTTTGTGTATGATGCTCTCAGGTGCTTTTTTGCGATTCAGCCTCCTCTTTGGTTTCGGTTCCTTTTTGCGCCACTGAACTACTTCAGGGCCGATCATTGCGGAGCTGTAGATAGTTTTTTTTTTTTTTTTTGTTCCCTCTTTTGTTATTCTGTTTGAATCTCTGGTCTCGATGAATCAGTACTGTGGAATCACGAATCCGGTGTAACTGCGCTGATGTGTTTCCCATGATTGCTTGGTAGATCATATCTTCTACGCCAGTCATAATGCGGAAATTTCGACTCTAGGAAAACACTTCTTGCGGAATTGCCATGATTCTGGCGAAACTCTTGATTTTTTTTTTTTTTTTTTTTTTTTTGTTTGTTAACGCCCGGGTTGTTGTAGAGGCAGGGTATTCGGCGCGTGAATACTCTCTGGGGTTTGGTCACTGGACGTTCGGAATGACCCACTTGGCCCTCACTTGGCCCTCTGGACCTTCGTAGAGGGAGTCCTCTGCGGGCTTGGTGCCCTATGCCCTATCGCAAGTCAGAGGGGCAGGGGCAGAGGCAGGATGCAGAGGCAGAGGCAGAAGCAGGAGCAGAGGCAGAGGCAGAGGCAGAGGCAGAGGCAGAGGTAGAAGCAGGATGCTCCAGTGATGTTTGTAGTGTCATGGTGCTGTTCCCCTAAAGCCGGAATCGAGGCTGCAAGGTTGTTAGGCTGGAGGGGCGGGCACGGCCAAAGGCTGCAAGGCTGATAGAATACGAATGAGTCGGTTATTTTGAAGAGCAAAGGTTTTACATTAGTTCCCTGAAGCCGCGTATCGCTTCCTTATTTTTTTCACTCTCTCTTCTATCTTTTTCCTTGCATGTGGACGCTCATGACTCTTTTTCTTTGTCTCGTCTTCCTTTTGTCACGTACGTGCGCTGTCAGCTAGTAGTCTCGTGACCGTGTATTGAAAGGGCGTGTGAGTGGGCTTCGCTCCGCTACTCACCGGATGCACAAAAGACAAAAAATGGCAGTGTATCTTCCCATGGTCAGGAGAGATATCCCATTATGACTTTTTGTGCTTCGCACCTGCTGATTAAGCTCCAGTTTAAGCTCTTCAGGGAGGAACCGTCGTTCTGATTTTGAACATTTGGTGAGTTGTAGAGCGAGGCCTGATGTCAAGAAAGCATGTGGTTGTTATCCTTGGAAGTCAGAATGAGGGAACGTTCTTGCATCTCTACGGGTCATATCCGATAAGCGGTTTCTTCTTCCTGCGGTTTGTCGATAATTTTACCGATTAAACGGCAAATATTCGTAATTGAAAGGTTGGACGGTGCTGCTACCCCGAGTAAACTGTAAGGCGGATGCGAGAGACGAACGAAACCATGGATTGTCAGGTGTTCGGTCTTGGTTTCTAGGCGGGAAATGGCGCTGGCTTGGGGTTGATCTCGAGAATTGGCGGTTTGTTACCTTGCATACGGAGCTCGCGGGGTTGCTCCCAGCAGAGAGAGGAGTCCCGGCAGAGAGACAAGTACTGTTCCTGGTCCGTTTTTATCTGCTTTGGCAGTTTTGCCGTTCAATAGCGAAGGCGCCCGCCCCTATGCCTATTCTGTTTTTCAATTAACGCATACCCTATAGGAAAGATGGTGTTCGCTACGGAACTCGCGTTTTGTTCCAGCAGAGAGAGGACAGGGAGATGAGTACCGTTGCTGGTCCGTTTGTATCTGCTTTTGTTACGTGTTTGCCATTCAGTAGCAAAGGCGCCCGCCCCCGTTCCTGTTCTATTTTTCAATTAACGCAGACCTGTACATAATAAGAAAGATTTTCGCTTCCGTTTGGGGCTAGTTGAGTGAGCCGAGCCCTTCGTCTTCCCCCCAGTACAACAGAGCGTACGGTCAGTATCCCTGCATTTAGACTGGAAATTGCCCCAAATACAGCTAGAATGACTGCACCTTCAATTTGGGGGAAGTGTTGGTTTTCCTCCTGTAATGGATCCAGCTTTGCTCCGCCTGCTTTATCATATCTGGCCATTGATGCGATTCTTTCTCCACCTCGCCAAGAGTAAGGGGGGGGGGAGGGGGGTTGATTCCTAGCTGAATGGATCCGGCTGTGCTTGGTTGAAGAAATGGATAGAGCGTTGGTTTAGCGTCGGAAGGGGGGGAGGGGGAGGTGGTGGACCGGTGGTCAGACGTAGACGTTGGATGCGGTGTTTTTTCTTTGTTTGTCTCCGCGCCATGTTGAATGGATCAAACGTTGGTTCCGTTGCTGAGATGGATTCTGGCCAGAGTTTCGCAGTGGTAGTTTGGGGAACAGGTCGGGCCGCGGTCGTTTGTTTCCGTATCACGTTTGAATGGACTTGCTGTAGGTCTGATTGTGGGCCTCGCTGCACTACTCTCGAAATGTGCAAAACGAGAGTGAATCTTCCGCTAGAATATGGAAAGATACACGGCCATGATTTTTGTCTGTTGTGCATTTCGAGAGTAGTGCAGCGAGGCCCTGTGTCGACCTTGCTACCTAGTGATGCGTGGTTTGGATGCCTCGAACGAATCAGGCTTTCGTTTGGGAGCGTCAGTTTGGCGGACAGATCGGAGTGTCGCTCGTTTGTTTCTGTATCACGTTGTAATAAGCCTGCTCGTAGGCGGATGTGTAGGTACGTCCCTTTTTTTTCTTCAAATTCTTCTTTTTTATTCCAATTGTTTCTGTATCACGTTGTAATAAGCCTGCTCGTAGGCGGATGTGTAGGTACGTCCCTTTTTTTTCTTCAAATTCTTCTTTTTTATTCCAAATTGACTCTCGAGGCCGGGGACCTCACAATTCTACCCGGAGTTATCCTGGCAGCATCAGCCAGTTTAGCTTACCGTCGACCAACTGAATCAACACAAGTCGATCTGAACTTCCAATTATCGAACTCTAGTACCACTGTCTTCCTTCTATTCTACCTAGTATGAAAGACCACTCCACGATCTAACAATCTAAATTGCTCTTTTCTCTGGCTGGGAAATCCGTTCTTCGTGCGTGTGGTGGCCTCTCAGCTACGGGTGTGACTGTCGTTTACGGTGGCGGTTTCCTCACCCTTAATCGGTTTTTTTTTTTTTTTTTTTTTTTTTTAATCAATATCTCTTACGGCATCCTTGATTTTTCAGTATCTTCTTAAGTCATCCCTGGTATTGTGATGGCACGGAGATTCTCTAATCACACTTAAGTGAAGTGAATCTGTTGGGCGCAGATCGGAGCCCATACTCGGTGCCCTTTTTGCGCACACCAGTGTGAACCAGATTGTGCCTCAATGGCAGTCCTCGAGAGTGAATCTGCTGGACGCAGATCGGAGCCCAGACTTGGAGCCATGAGGTGCGGAGTGTGTTTGACAAACAGACGTTACCGAAGACTGGCGGCCAGACCAGTCCTCAAGTGATGACGTCGTATGCGATTCGGTATGAGTCTTCAGGCTCAGCTTTCATTGCTCGGATGTCAAACTACTTCGCTTCTCTGTTGCCCTGCACACCCCGTCTCGCGTTCGGTATTTTCTTCAGCTTTGTCTCTGGAAAGTTTGTTCTTTGTTTGGTTTTGATCGAGCGTTGGAGATCATGGGTGCCTGAGCAATCTAGTTTTCAGGAAGAAGGGTTCCTTGTGATGGTCCTTGTTTGGGCAGGTGAATTCGCCACACTCGGCCAAGCGGGGAAGGGGAGGGAGGATAGTCTTGCTCTGTCTCTGGAAAGTTATTATTGTGTTGGTTTGGATGGAGCGTTGGCGATCACGGGCGCCTGAGCAATCTTGTTTTCAGGAAGAAGGGATCCTTGTGATGGTCCTTGGTTGAGCAGGAGAATTCGCTACACTTGGCCAAGCGGGTAAGGGGAGGGAGGATAGTCGTGCTTTGTCTCTGTCTTTACCTTTTGAGTGCCGTTTCTCGTCATTGGCATCTCTGTTTCACCTACTTGCTAATCCAAAGATGCCACCCATGCTGTAGACGTTTGGTTGATCTACTGTCTTCTTGCTCTGCCCAGCCGGTCTGCCTCGCCCCGTCTCCCCTATCCACGCTGCTGTTCTCATCTTTGCATTTTTTCTTGTCTCCGTTTTGCGGTGGAAGTTCAGTTGATCTACTTACGAGCAAGTTTTTGTCTTCGTTCCCCCTCGGTCTTTCCCACCCCCACCATTCTGGTGCGTTGTTCTAGTCTTCTTGTTCCCCCTCCTTGGTCTTTCCCACCCCCACCATTCTGGTGCTGGAATACAGTTTAACTAAGCAAGGACTATGACGTCGATTCAGATTAAGGAGAACTTAAAATGACTCGCCACCATGATTTTTTTTTCTGCAGTGACACTAAACTAAATGTTTATGACTTCTGTGACGGTAAAAACTGGGCATGCTGCGGCTCGTTTTGAGTGCGGTGGCTGTCAGAAACATTCACAGTCCCGATATCGAGTTTTTGCTTGTGGCATTCATTTCGAATTAAAAAAAACTGCGGGCTACGAAGGGATTCACAGTCTAGTTTCGACCACGGTGCACCACTTTGGTGGTTGTATAGCCATATGTAGCATGGCGTGGCCGCCGCCCACCCGCTTTGTCTGTGAAGCAGATCAATGCTGATATGGCCCAGCCGTTGAGCTCTCAGTTTGTGACTGTGTGCCTAAGCTTTGAGCTTAAACCACCAGCACCTTTCTCAGCTATCGATGCCGAGCCTAAAATCGCGCGACGCCCACCCGCTTTGTCTGTGAAGCAGATCAACGCTGGTATGCCCCAGGTGTTGAGCTCTCGGCTCTGTGACTGTGTGCCCAAGTACCTTTCTCAGCTGTCGATGCCGAGCCTAAAATCGCCCTGCGCGCCAAAAAAGAAAGAACCGGCGCGGGCCTCATCTTGGATGGCGCCACCAGCCATTTCGGTCCGGTAGTACCGAACCGCCCTTCGCTCTGCGCGTGTTTGATTTTGCTACGGCTCGTTTTGAGTGCCGCGGCTGTCAGAAACATTCACAGTCCCGACGTTGAGTTTTTGCTTGTGGTGTTCATTTGGAATAAAAAAGAAAAGAACTGCGGCCTATGAAGGGATTCACAGTCTAGTTTCAACCACGGTGCACCACTTTGGTGGCGGTAACCATATGCAGCATGGCACAGCCTCCACCTACCGGCATTGTCTGTGAAGCAGATCAATGCTGATATGGCCAAGGTGTTGAGCTCTCATGTTGCATACTCGTGAAACACAGTCATAAGTATGGCGCAGATTCCCAGAACCGACCAGATAATACAGAGTTAATACAAATACAGCGAAAGAGTTGATACCCATGGACTGATTCAGACCTGACTCAGACTGGAATCGAACACTCTCAATCATGCATCAGTGGTGTGAAAGCCCTGGCCTTGGACATAGAGGAAAGGCCAGGGTCTGAGATCATACACGGACGAATGGAGGGAG